CTGACCATCATCTCAGGATGTCTCTTTCTGGCCGCCGACATCTTCGCCATCGCCAGCATCGCCAACCCGGACTGGATCAACACCGGGGAGTCCGCAGGTGAGCGGCGGCCGCGCGGGGGATTGGCTGAGGACAAAGCGAGGGGAGGGGAGACCCGGGCTGAGGGGAGAACGGGGCTGAGGGGCTGATCCGGGGCTGGTCTGCGGACAGCCGGCTTCGGACAGAAGCGACTGAGGGGCGGCCCCGGCTGAGGGAAGAAGGGGGTGGAGAGGAGGACTCGGCTGGTGGGGAACGAGACCTCCCGGCTGAGTGAAAGGTGCCCGGGAGGACGGGGTCTGTGCTCTCCTGCTGGGGGCAGGAGGCGGGGGCAGCTGCCGGACCTGAGGGGCCGGGGAGGAACGGCTTCGTTTAAGATTTTTTTTTAAAAAAATAGAGTTTATGGGTGAGAGACGGGAGGAAACGGTTTGGAGGAAACTGAGGCGCCGGCCAGGGCATTGGAAACCAGGCAGAGACTCGGGCCGAGAGCGAGGCAGCCTGTGGGCAGGGCGAGAAGCACCGGACAGCGAATGGGCGAGGGGCGTGGGGTCTGACCCGGGACCCTCCCTGCTCTTCTCCCCGCCCCCCGCCAGCCACGCCACGGAGCTGCGGGGTCCCGGGGTCGACCCTGAGAAGTGGGGTTAATGGTGCCCAGAGAGCTAGGGGTGGTGGCGAGGGAATGGGGGCCGGGCAGGATCCGAACCCCTAACCTCCTACTCCCCCATCCGCACCCTCTTGGTAATGTTTGAAACGCCTTTGGCTTCCGATTTTCCCTTTGAAATGTATGTGGTTATGATTTTGCTTTAATTTAGGGCCGGGAGCTGTGATAATATTAATAAACTTCATTTTATGGAGCATCTTTCATTCCAGCGTATCACAAAACGATTTAGAGATCTTAATAGTAGTTACAAAATTAAATAACACATTCGAGTTGCAGGCAGGCCAGCACCAGTAGCAGCGTCTGCTGAAACACCACGCAGCACCAGGCAGGCGAGACAAGCATAGCTCTTAAGGATAAGCCAGGTGACTGAATTTGCATTATTTTTCTCAGCTTGGGCCACTACACACACTCACACTCACACATTCACACTCACACTCACTCACTTATCCAGACCTGTGAGACCAAACCTTTAAAGAACGTAAACAGATGTCGTGAGAGCTGATTAGAATTAAGAAATTTTTTTTTTTTTTTTCCTTTTTAATTGCCTTTTCAGTGCAGGTGAAGGGAATAGTTTTTTGGTTTTTGTTGGTTTTTTTTTTTTGGGAGGAGGAAATATGTCAAGCTCTGCCCATGAATAATTTATTATAAAAATGTGTCACTACTCTGTCAAAACTTAGTTCTTAAGTATTACTTATTGTTCTGTGTTTATCCTGCAATATTTTTAACTCTTAACAACAACAACAACAAAAAAAAAACTGTAGCTGGGACATTTGTTCCTTCCTCCTCCCTCCCCCAGTCCAGAGCTAGTAACACAAAATCATGCTGTCAGATTTACAGGTTATTAAAATAACACTCTTAAAGAATTCTGCTTCTCTTCTTGGCTGTAGGGTTTTAACAGAGCTCTCAATTGCAAAACAAAGTATCCGAATATTGTAGAATTTGTTGACACTCTGGTCTTTGTTTCTGAAAATGTTGGGAATGCCATTGTTACTACTGGTTTGCACAATTATACGGTGTGATGTTGAGATCATGAACTGTTGTTTTTATCCTAATTATATGTGTAGTAAAGAGGGCTGGTGGTGCAGTGGTTAAAACATTAAGCTCCTAAATTAAAGGTCAGTGATTCCAGCCGTTCCATGGGAGAAAGATGTGTCAGTCTGCTTCCTGAAGATTTGCAGTCTTGAAAACTCTATAGGGCATTTCTACTCAGTCCTATAGCATAGCTGTGAGTTGGAATCAACTTCTAAGACTTTCTTTGTGGCTTTGCATACCTGGGGCAAAGGGTTTCACTGTTGTAGCAGAAAGATCCTTTTTGCAAAGAAGGTTTAGGTGGAATCCCAGGAAATAAAACAGATTAAATATGCACAGGAAAGATATAGCTGGGAGAGGGAAATGTTACTTATGTAGAAGTTGTTGTTAAATGCCATCGAGTCAGACCTGACTCATAGCAACCCTCCTTGTGTTTCCAAGGCAGTATCACTACTGAAGTAGATTGCCTAACCTTCCTTCCAGGGAGTGGCTGGTAGGTTTGAACCACCAGCCGTCTGTTTAGCAGTCAAGTGCCTTAGGCACTAAGCTACCAGAGATCTTGCTATATAGAAGTAGTAAGAGATAATTAGAAGTAGGAAGAGATAATTAATAAGGGTTAACAATTCTGAGACAAAGGAAAGGGAGCCTTTCAAAGCACAGAGAGGGAATACCTCCTCTCTTTTATTGGTAAGAAAGCAAGGATAGGATGAGTACAACTCCTTTAAAGTAGAGAAAGTCATCTTCTGCGAGGTGTCACAGAGATGGGCCAGAAGTACAAGATTTGAAGGAAGTAGAAAATGTTTGAAATAAGTAAGTAGGCATTCCAGAGAGAGCATACCAACCAGAGACATAGTGGGATTATCCAGCAGTGTTGAAGCTTAGTTGAAGTTGGTGGTCATAGCATCCCTCTGCCATGTTATTTGACCTTCTGGTCACCATGAGTTGAATCAACTGGAAAGCAACTGTTTATAGCAGTGCTCAGCTACTATGGTGTCAGTGTAGTGAAAGCCAGTAAAAGGTTTCAGGGCTGGGGCTTACTAGATACATGCAACAAAATGATAAGAGGGGCAAAGGTGTTTAGGGTGCTGGCCAAAGTATCATTGTAATGATAGATGGTGTAATCTTAGCTGGATAAAGAGTGGAAGTAAATAAACGAGTGAGCTAACACATTGGTCAATGGAATAATGGACCTAGGAAAATTGAAGACCAGTCAGATTGACAGTGTGGTAGTTCACTTGGTGTGTCAACTTGGCTGGGCCTGGTTGAGGGCTGGGCAGCTGGATGTAGTATTCCCCATGATGAGACTGGTAATCAACTCATGGTAGAATCTACTGTGAGCAGCTGAGTAGCTGCCTTAGGGAATGTGGTCTGCATCGTGAATATAAGCAGAAGGTTTGGGGAATGGTCTCTAGCTTATAGCACGCTTGGACCCTGATGAAGCTATGTTGTTTAGCAGCCTGCCATGCTCTGCTGGCCTTGGGACTTACAATGGACTTGAATTAATGGCCTGCTGTGTGGTTTGGTAACATTGGGACTGTGCCATTTTATTTGTCGACCTTGGGCTTGTTAGCTTCAGCAGCCAGTAGCTGCCTGAGTAAAAAGATGCCTCTAGTTTCAGTGGGCCTGGAGCAAGAGGCAAAGCTGAAGCCCAAGGTCGAGGGGCTTTCACACAGCCCCTAGAGCCTGGCACTTTTAACTTGAACTTAAAGCCTCCAAATTGTAAGAGAATAAACTCCTGTTTGTTAAGGCCATCCCATTTATAGTATATTCCTGTCAGAGCAGCCCTAGGTAACCAGAACAGAATATGGTACTAAGAGTGGGGTGCTGCTCTGACAGATACCTAAAATGTGGAAACAGGAGTGGAGTGCATCCTTGACCAGAGACCCTGGCAGAAAGACCCTGACATACGGCATGAGAGACGGCAGGAGCAGAGCCAAGAGACTGGCAGAGAGATACCAGCAGAGAGACCAGCATGAAAGACGGCAGTAGCAGAGCCCAGAGACCAGCATTAAACAGCAACAGGCTTACCAGCCCACAGAGGAGAAAGCTGGGTGCCATTGGGTAGATGACTTCCTGGTGGAGTGGGTTGCCTTCGGGCATTAATTGGTAGAAGAGACCAGCATGAAATGGAGTAGCAGGTTGGCCGGCCCATGGAGCAAGAAAGCCGAGTGCTTTTTGGGCAGGAATTTTTCCAGCAGAGTGGGTTGCCTTCGGCATTAATTGGCAGAAGCAGAGAGACTGAGGAAACGGAAGCAGAGCTGCCTCAGCCTGAAAGGGTAGGACTATGGCCTTTGGGGGTGGAACCATCACAGCCCCCGAGGTTTCAAAGAGCTAGGCCTTCACCAACTCGGTTCTGGATTGTGGGACTGCTCGTTCATGTGGGCCAGTGGGATGGAGCCATAGCCACTGTCGAGGAGTAAGGGGGTGGGGCTGCCATGCCCAAGAGGGAGAGGAACGGGCCGCCAGGCCAAGGGGATGAGATCGCCATTTGGAGGAACTAAGGGACTGGAGCCACCGGTGAGAGAGATCTGTACAGATTCCACCCAATGAAGATCTGTACAGGTGCCAAGTTGATAAGGGGTGGAATTGTGGTAGTTCAGTTGGTGTGTCAACTTGGCTGGGCCCGGTTGAGTGGCTGGGCAGCTGGATGTAGTATTGCCCATGATGAGACTGGTATTCAACTCCATGGTGGAATCTACTCTGAGCAGCTGAGTAGCTGCCTTAGGGAATGTGGTCTGCTTCCTGTATATAAGCAGAAGCCTTGGGGAATGGTCTCTAGCTCGTGACACGCTTGGACCCTGCATGTAGCCATGTCATTGTTCAGCAACCTGCCATGCTCTGCTGACCTTGGGACTTGCAATGGACTTGAATTAATGGCCTGGCATGTGGTTTGGTAACATCAGCACTGGGGCATTTTATTTGTCAGCTGCTGAAGCCCAAGGTCGAGGGGCTTTCACACAGCCCCTAGAGTCTGGCACTTTGAACTTGGACTTAAAGCCTCCAAACTGTGAGAGAATAAAGTCCTGTTTGTTAAGGCCATCCCATTTGTGGTATATTCTTGTTAGAGCTGCACTAGGTAACCAGAACAGGCAGTGACTGATCCAGCAAAGGAAAAGGATGGGGGGTATATTTGGATTAGTGTTTTAGAAGGTGAAGCATTTTCTCCTGATGACAAGGTCCAGGATGTTTGGCTGAGGTGGAGTGGAAGAGGAGATTTTTTGTTTCCCTTATCATCTTAGAATATCCTTCAATTAAATAATCTATGGCTAGAAAGATAAATAATCAGAAATAATAGTAACAGTAGGAAAATTTTCAAAATTTTATCTAACACACTGCTTTTAATATGTCAGACAATCAAACCAAACCAAAACCA